TCATGTTTTACTCTTCATCTGAAAGATGGCTCGGCCAGCAGCTCGATACACCTTTAATTCCTTGTGAGGAACTTGAGAGAAATTAAAAAAAAAAAAAATGCTGTTTAGGAGTTAAAATACTACACAGCCCGTTGGACTAGATGATCTGAAAGGTCCCTTCCAACCCAGGCTGTTCTATGATTCTACCAACAGAAACCAGGTCAGAGCCACATGCAACATCTGAGACCTTTCTGCATCACTTCTAATGGTAGGACTATCCCCAGATGCAGTATGTAGCCGCTTCCTGTTTTTTCACTAAAGCTGCTGCTGAGGCCAGTGTAGTGTTTGCTGTAAATTCTTCAGTTTTTGCTTGCAGATTGACATCTGGAAAGGTCCTCAACACTCATGAAGACTTTCATCTCAATAGCCTTTCTGTGAGCATAACATCTTTTCCATGGACTGCTTTGCTTTCAAGGAGGATTTCTAATTTAATGTCCAGTATTTATCATGCCCCCGATGAGTTCAGAGAGACTGAATTATATGCTGTAGTCTTCCATTTGAACTAAGAATATATGAACCAAAATACATTTGTACCAATTTATATTCTGTTTTGTTACTACTTTTGTGTATATGTAAAAAGAAAATAATAAAAAAATACCTTCTACTATCAAGACCATAAGTCAATCTTTTTAATTTCAAGGTTATTTTCAAAGTAGTGGAACTGCATTTGTTCCTGAGATAACACTGTACCTTGTGCCCATGTACATTTTAGTTTATTCTTCCCTTATTTCTCTGTTGCAACGTAAAAGGGACTGTAGTCCTGCTTTGTAAGTTGTTCCCAAGAGACTCATTTGAGTTCAGTGGTACATGGAAGCCTGAAGGACCCTTTTTGGGGTCAGAAGAAGTGGTGTAAATAAGAGCCAGAGCAATGTCAACCAGAAAGAGCACTTTGGGCTTACGTAGCTTCAGGGCAGTGAGCAATGATGGACAGGACAGAGGTTCATTTGTCATTCTGTGTGAGTCACATAGGCCCCATCTAGTCTGAATCTGAGGACTTGCAATGGTAAGCAAAACCACGCAGCACTTTCTAGACCTCAGTCCAAAATCATAACACAGAGTGCTTCCTCTCTTATGAATAACAACAGAAACACATACTTTCCTTGCCATTTTACCTGTCTTGCTTACTGAAATAGCAAGCTGATGGTAGCAGAATTGTTTCTTGCAATGTGCTTATACAGTACTTTGTACAGTGAGGCTCTGTTTTGGACATTGCTACTGGAAATAGCTAAGAAATGTCCTACTTCCCAGTATCCTATCTCCAGCAGTGGCATTAGGAGATTCTGTTTAGAAAGAGCAAACAAACTTGACTGCTATCTGAGGTCCGTTCCCACCATCCACGGTAATTGATTAGGGATGTTATAGACTCATCTCTGCCTTTTCTCTGTTTAAGAACATGTTGTCCCTGAACTTGTCAACTCTCTTTTTGAAAATTCTCATACTGTTTGCCCTTAAAACCTGCTGTGACTACATATTCCACAAGTTCATTGCCTGCTATGTAAGAAAGCACTTTATTGTATCTGTTAAATCAATCCCTTATTAGTGTTTAGTGATCCCTGGTTCTAGGTGGGGATTTAGGGAACAAGCTTTTCATTCATCGTATTTCCAGATAGCCTTCTCCTCTCTTAATTAAAAAGTCTCAGCTTTTTAAGTCTCCCCTGGTAAGACAGCTGCACCATCATCCACATCATTTTAGCTACCCTTCTTGGTACCTTCCCTCAGTCCATTATGTCCTCCTTGCAATGCTGAGCGCAGTGGCACGCATTAGTCAGGATGTGGGTGCACCTGGGTTTTACACATCGGCAAAATGATGCTCTCTGCATTGTTCCCAACACCCTTCCTAATGATGCTCAACAATTTGATGCCTCTTTTGGCTGACGCTGCACGTTGAGCTGATGAATGAAACTCTGAATAACTAATGAGAATATACTATTGTGATCAAGGCTGGCTGTGGTATGCAGCTAAATATAGCCACACTGATTTTATTGGGATTTTTTGAAAATGTATTTAATTGCCAGTCTCAGTGAAAGGCAAATATTATCAGCCAGGGCAACTGGTCCAAATTGGACAGCTTTGGGTCACTCTGCTTTTGCAGTCTCCCCTTTCTGTCTGCCCAGAGCATTAGTAGTATACCTTACTCTATAAACTAGAGCACCCGTAAGTAATATGCCTGCACATTCTTCCTGGATTTGTGTGCAAGTGCCCAAGGCGACTTTCAAACTTAGGTCTCCTGTTCAAAAACTTGATTATAAGGAGGAGGAAACACTTCTCTCTGACGCTTCCTTTTGAAGAGGTTTTATGACTCAGATGTACAAGTTAACTTCCAGATGAAAGTATAGTAGAAGCTTTAGCCCAGGAGCAACACCTACCCAGTTTTATAATCCTGTCACACATACAGCTTTAATAGAAGCCTGTAGAATAAACAAAACTTACCTATAGAAACAATTAGGTGACACCAGTTGTAATTCAGAGAATTTCCAGCAGATTAGTAACAAGCTGTGAAAAGCCTGTGGCCTGAAAGGCAACCTTGAGCCTCTAATTCTTAGGAAATTATTTGTGTTGTGATGGTTATTGCTGCTGAACAATTAACACCTGGAAGACTTTAAAAAATTTGGCTTTTAATTTCTCTTTTCCATTTTCAGCATATGAAGTCTCTGATTCTGGCATGAATCACAGCTCTTTGCCATCCAGCTCTTCCCCGAGGTCTGCATGGCTAGTAATCAACCAGAGCATGCTATAAAGAGCAGAGGCATTGATCCAAGGAAGCAATCAGGTACATGTGTGATTCTTTCTCCACAGAGCTCTCAAAATCTAATCAGGAAAGGCTATTTTGGAACATTCCTTCCAGATTTTTAAACAATCTGGAGGAGACAAACTTTTAATCAGAATCTGTACATACAAAAAAAAAGTTTGATTGCTACCAGTTTTATTTTTTCAGTGAATCAAATGGAAATCGCACTTCTGTGTTAGATCATAAAAAATTACACTTTAATGCCCTGTGTTTCTTGGCACTTTTTTTTTTTTTTTCCTTTTGGTGGCCATCTTCAGTGTATCTGAGCCTATTCAAGTGTCTATGAATCTTGGTAGCTCACTCCTTTAGCACAAACAGAGCTATGTCCCTGATTGTGTACTATCCACACCCCAGAAATGTCTCTGGAAGGGAGTTAATCCTTTCCTTGAGGTCTGGTAACAATCAGTCAGAGGTGTACCCTAAAACAGTAACAAACCTCCTATACTCTCTTTGTGCCAGTTTAACCTACTATGTCAGAAATCTTACTGATGACTGGCACTAGTTATGGTTAAAATTAAAGATATGCATTAAGGTAACTTTATACTACAGTCCTAGAAATACTCTGTTTGGATATTGCTACAAGCAAATCTAGTGCAGTCCTCCACTATTTCGGATGCTGCAGGAATGAAACTGTCTCCCAGAACTTCATAGGCCTCCTGGTTCAGGTCCTTGAAGTACAAGTGCTTGTGGGGGATTCAGCCACAAATGTTACATGAGAAAGTAATTAATCACAGATTCCATGCAGATTGTATGTGAAAAGCCCCACCAGCTATTGGCTTCCCCACCAGTTTAGCTTCCTATAATAGTGGGGTAGCTGCCCAGTTGCTCTCTGGAGCAAGGAATTAACATAGTGTAAGAAACACAATGCCCCTTTGCTTCAAAGTTGGGTTATGTGTCCTATTAAGGGAAGAAGAATGAGTGAACTTGAGAGTTCAGGGACATGTAGGGTCTCAGGATGGCAACATCAGCTTGGAGATACTTACAAATTTGAATAGGTCAGAATCCCACGAATCCCACTTCTTGCTGTCTCAGTGCTTTTTTTTTTTTTTTTTTTTTTTTTTTTTTTTTATTTTATAAAAAAAAAAAATCCCCTTCTTCCCCCACCTTGAGGGGGGACCTGCTCGGATGAGAGTCATTCTGCAAATTGCCCCAGATTTTCGCCCTAATCCCTTTGATTTTTATAGAGATAAAACGGAAGGAAAAATAATTTTGCAGGGAGCTAGACAAACCTTCATATATGCAAAGGTCGTGTTTTACCAACATCAGAAGAGTTACAGCAGACCTGGGGTTAGGTCGGGATGATTCTGCTCTGAGTGAACTAGAGTCTTTTTCAATCAAGGTGAAGCATTTTGTGCAGAATTTTTCCGTGCAAATATATGGAAGAGCATAATACAGGGCACTTGCAACTGCTTGGTTTACAGACACCAGAGGTCTCTCAGGGCTGGCTGCTATTATTGTTTAAATCAGAGGATAGATTCCCACTGAATTTCAGGGGTAACTGGATTAGTTACTAGGTTGTCATACTGGAAAGGCATGCAATTAAAATAGCCATGTTGTTCTCACTGAGCTGGAGCTAAGGATGGCCAAGTATGATTGCTCAAGTGCAGCTGTGCAGCTGATCTGCCACCATGAAGGTGCTTGATTGCATTTTAGATGCCAGCGAAACCCAGCCTGGCCAGAAGCTGCAGTTTGGCAACTCGTACCCAGCGGGGCTCTCTTCATGCATGGGCATCTATCTGCAACAAAGAATTTTTTTTTTTTAGTCAGAGGTATAATTTCCAAATGGTAGGGTTTGATCTGCAAAAGTTATCTCAGTGTAACAACGTCGCTGCAGCCAATAAAAATTCTGGCAGGTGTGTGGTTTAGCAGGAGGAGTCTTCAGCTGGAAAACAATCCTTATGTGCTTTGCGCTGAATGTAGAAAAGGTGTTTTTATTAATGGTTTTTGCATTGTGGTTATTTTCTTATTTGGATGCACCATAACAATTTTAAACTACTTTTCTGAACTAAGTACCTATTTCTTACAAATTTTATTGATAGGAAGGGATGCCCCCACACTGTTTATCTAACTCCAGCTGTAAGTCCCAGCCTCCCAACCAGCAAGGTATGCACATGCCCGTACTCTCGTCAGTCTTCCCAGGAACTCCTGTGGAAATAGTTGCTTCCATAATGCTATGCGTAAGTTTTGAAGGCTCAGGAAAGACCAGGGAAATTACAAACATGTGAGCTCAAAACTTTTGAGAAAATGAAGACTGCCAGTGTTTCCATAATTAAAGACACGCTGTGTAAACTGACCCCGTCTCTCCTTTTCCCTTACCCAAGATGAATGACACGTGAAACAGTGCATTAAGCCTGGGAAGGAAGCTAAGGTTATACAAGGGATTGCGTTTGACGATGTCATGTCTTTTTTGATGACATGGATAAAGCATGCCCGAACCAGAGCTGGAGATGGACAAGATTTTGGGGGG